GCAGTAGCAGAAGTGTACGCTACATCTTACACAGTCTGCATCTTATACAGTAACGTAGACTACATGAACTATAACAGAAAGGCGAAAAACTGCACCTCACAAACTGAAATCACATTCTCACCACAACACATGCAGACTCTGAATAGAAAAACAAATATTTCACCAATCCCTCTTGCAAATAAGGAAGACGATGCTTTAAAGTGTTGTGCTTTTCTGTCCTGACACTCACTGGCTCGGTCGCCTCACATATGTGTTGCTACATAGTACAAATGCACGTGGAGAGCTGCACTTCCATGCTGATTGAAGGCTGTGTGTAAACTAAAGAGGACAAAAAATGGCATCGGTTAAATAAATATATAAATAAACGCAGAAATAACGCCAAATGTAGAATTCAACTGAAGATGCTGGTTTAACTATACTGTTTTAATTTAAGCCATGTATGTATGTGGAAATGTTTACACCACTTCTGGCCCTGCAGAGCAGATGATCACAGTAAGAAAATAAATTCCACGTTGACTATTTGGCACAAATTTAAGTAACCTGCTCTCTCGTTATGATAAACAGAGGCCATAATTCAGCTATAGTGTGTGTTAAAGAACTGTCTAGGTCATACATTGTAGTCTAGCTACTGATATATTGCCAACACTCCCTATAAAATAGTATCCATACTAAGCTGCCTGAATAAAATACTAATATTTTATTCCTCACTACACATATATACTTTTAGTCAGATGACCCCAAAGTCCATCTTTTAATAAAAGTGCGCTTATATCCATCTTGTGAATTAAGACTATTCACAGCAGATTGCTTTACTCGTTTACTAGTTTTACTCTCTGCTGTCCACTTATAAAGTGCTCCATCTTCTGTTGAAAAAACAAAACGAAAACTCAACAATTATACACTCGCACACATCATTCTCCAACCCTCTGCTACATCTCAAGCACACCATCATTCAGTCCTTGCTCCAAAGGCCAGAGGTAGTCGGTCAGCTGCTGGAGCTGGTGGTCTGTTGAGGTGTAGTTTCCTGACTCTCCACCAGGGGGAACTGCTCCCTCCAGTAGGTGAAGTGGCTGTAGGTGTCCGAGCAGGGGAAGTCAGAGGAGGACGCTCGGGCCTTCAGCGGAAACACGTGGTCAACGACCTCGCACAAACGTACGTAGCTGAAGAGAAGAGAGGAGAGCGAGATGATGCAGTGATGCTGTAAGGGCCATGAGAGCAATCCAGTGGGACCTGGGTGAAGGACTTACGATGAGATGTTGGTCTTGGCGTGCTCCTGCACCAGCTCCCCTTTGGGGTTCACTGTAAAAATCCTGTTTAGTGACACCCCAACTTCTTTGTATGAGTATACATCCTACAAAGACAAGAACAGGGGCATTTTTAATGTTAGATATACTGGATATTAGACTTAAACAGTGCAAAAAATACCTAAAAAGCTTCAATTTACCCTCAGTGAACATCCAAACTCACTTTTATGATGAGAAATAGACTAAACTATAAGCAAATATAACTGTCTGTAAGCTCTGCAGAGCCGAATGTGAGTTACCGTCGGTCTGTTGCCGAATGCTGCGTAGAACGGCTGCTTGTTGGGGTAGAAGAGGTTCTTGATATCAGTGAGACACTCTACCTTGAACTTCTCCGGCTTCTTCTCTATCACCTCCCTGTGAAACACAATCAGCACTGCACGATGAGTTCCTCCTGCATCCTCTCATGTGCTAATATAGAAAAACAGATGCACGTTTGTGATATGAAATACCTGTGCAGAGCTGAAAAGAGGCTGCTCGGGCTCAAGAGGACGGGGCCCATAGGAAGCATAGTGCCTCTCTCGTTGACCCAGTTGAGGTAACCTCTAGTCATGTCAGCCATGCCGATCGCTCGGGCTGAGCAGTACAGGAACTTGTAGCCATTTCTGATGTGGAGAGGAAGAGATTAATATTAACCAACTTGTGTCAATAGAGAGTTGAAATTACTAAATAATTTCTTTAACTTTGTAAAAGCATTTCTTTAAGAGCTTTATTTTATTTCTATAAAATCTCCTTTATGCTTTACTTTAAAACTGAGAGTAGACTGTTAACAAAGTAGTTCTTACTGGCTGACTTTGTGGTACAGCTGAGCAATCCCCTGGTGTGTCCAGTCTTTCCCGAGTGTGGGCAGGATATGACCCAATGTGTCTGACCTGGAGACAAATACAAGCAAGCGTTATTAAAAATGCATTTTTTTGCACTTGTGTAAAAATCTAATCATGTTTTAAGTCATAGTCATCCAGATTTAAAACCCTTTGGAATACTTCTCATTGTTGGAATATATAAAAGCATCCTCTGTTTAGTCTGAGAGAGGATTTAAATGTCACAATAACTGGAAAAGTACCTGCTAGCTCTCTATTAAATGCTACCTTTGCAAGAAGCTGCATATTTAATCTTCTGATCAGAATGACAAATTGCCTCATAATCAGCAGTGAATAAATGTTACAGATGGAATAGCCGTGAAGAGTTTATTCATCACACTGAACCCTGCTGTGCACAGAGTTGTACAGCATGCAGATGAACCTAATACTGGAGCCACTTCCAGTAGATTTGCCGTCCAAACTAAACTCCATTATGCATTAAAAAAAACAAAAACAAGACACACGCACCTGGTAATGGTTCCATCTATGTCGGAGATAATTATCTTGTCATCCCAGTTCCAGAGGTAGATGGTGCCTTGACAGCGACAGGTTCCCTGGTACTGAGTGGTGACGCTGAACACGACATCGTTAGGCCCGTCTTGCAACTGAAGAGACAGCTGGAAAATTTGGTGAAGGGGGTGAAAATCCATGAAAAACCACTCAGAAAGGAAGAGAATTGTGTTATAGCTGCACCATTTGGGCTTGTCAGGTGGATCTTTACTGCTGCCATCTTGCTCAAGCTGGTAACTCATTCTTTTATGCTTCTTTTTTAATGTTTGAGCTATCTCTCTATCATATCCAAACTTGTGCTTTAACTTATGTGCTCACCAGCTGCTCTGATGTGAGTCGGAGAGTTTTCTTATAAGACACGCCTCCCGTTGTGAGTACCGGCTCTGTCTGTATGAGGGAAGAGTTCTGCTTGGCTTCCCGGTGGTCCTCATCACTAGAGGATGACTCTTCTTTCAGTCTGTCATCAGAGAGGTGAACAGGGCATTTATATGCTTCAATATAAACCTCAGTAAGTGAGCAAGGACAATTTTGAGCCAGGAATGCTCTCTTACCTGCTTGTCATATTCCCAACCTGCTCAGCAGTGCAACAGGCCCCACGCTCAGAGGCTGAATCCTATAGGTAATAAAAACAGTGCCAGGTTGGTGTTTATCTGGTAACTTGTTCACAATTAACATAGCTGCCGCTTTAAATTACCGATTTGGCACTGCTGTTTTTGCTTCTCCAGGAGAACCACCACCTTCCTGCTTTCTTGGGCATCTTCTCCTTCATGATGTTCTCCACTGCAGCCTGAAGCAGACCACACACACACACACACACACAGATACACACATACACCAAGCAACCACAACCCAAAGCCATAAAGACACACTTAAAAAATAAAGCAAACTATACCGTAAATCAACAAACACTGAAGCAAAACCAAGAATGTGCCTGAGGCCGAAGCGGGGGAAAATACACCAACAGAATAAAAGTGGAAGCTAGTGTAGAGATATTAAAGGGGGGAGGGGTGTTTAAAACAAACAAAAAATAAACATACAGAGCTGTAGCCCAGAACACTGGTCAGACAGCAGAGGAGGAACTGTAAGGTTGAGTGAATGTAATTAGGGCAGGAGGACTAACGGATGGATGGAGGGAGTAATAAAATAAGACGGGGAGAGAACAAAGGAGAAAACAACATTTATCTTGAGAGCAAAAGTTTGGAAGACATTTGTTACACAATGTAAATTTTGTCTGCAGTAGCAAAAACTGAACACAGTGAGGTTTGAGGTCCACAGACTCCACATTAGGCCTTATGTTATGTAAAGTGGTGCAGTACCGGGATCAGTCAGAAGGGGGAATACTTCTCATGTAATCCAACCCAACTTACTGAGTCCTAAATATCTGTGCAGCGTCTGCAATCAACTCTTACCTTTGGCAGAGGCTTCTGAAAGGCTTGCATAGCCAGCACAAGCGGAGCTGCAGTGTTCCAATTATAGTACCTGTGGGAGATAACAAAATGTATTTTTAGCCCTTCCATAAATGCAGCAAAACACATGTTTTTCAGCCAATTTTAGCTCATTAGGCCAAAGAGTTGTGCTAACGCTGCTGTTTTTGCCCGCAGTGTGTGACACATGAATCCATTCAGTACACTCGAATGTCTTACTTTGAGCCAATTTTCACCACTAAGTTGGGGTCGTCGATGATAGAGGGGTTCTCTGTGAACTGCTGATAGGACACAGTCTTCTTATAAAATTGCTCTGTAAAAGGAAGGGAGAAGAAAAAAACCCCACACGTTATTTATTCCCCATGCTTACAACACAGTGTCTAAAGTGCATCTTGGAGTCGTGTCATGTCACGTGATCGTTTACCTTTCGTGATCTCCCTGTTGTCATTGAGCCCCCCACACAAAGAGATGGCAATTGATGGCAGGTCAGACATGGGATCGCAGTAACTGTCTACTCCACTGTCTCCTCCAGAGCTTACAGACTGAGGAGACTGACTGGTGCTGTGGAGGCCCGGATCCGAGATGCTCCTCACTGTTGCACCAGTGTCACTGCAAAAAAGAAAAAGAGGAGATACTTTTGATAAGAATCTCGCTGATCATTCTGCACAGTTCAGAAATACAACTGTATGAAACTTTTCTTAACATGAAAGCGTGCGTGATGTCCAAATACCTCTTAGGAAAATAAAGGGCTGCCACTTCCGGTTCAAGCTCAGTGATGTCGTCCAGATAAATTCCATCAGAACCAAGATGGCGACTCCTTTTATCTGCAAAAGAGCAAATTCATTTTCAGCCTCTTCGATTTTTCCCCCCTGACTGATTTATCCAGAAGCAAATCATTTGCCAGCTTGATCTCTGTGAGAGGGTCTATAGATGGATTATTATGAGGCTGTAAGCTTCCCTGTAGTACCAGATCCGTTCACCTGGCCCCTGTTTATCTTTGCAATCATATGCAGCGATTCAGACACATTTTTGGCTGTAAATCCATCTTATATTGCATCTTATCTTATACTACGGAGAGCAACTGATTGAGTTTGAGCAATTTGCAGTTTGAAGCTGCAGCTTCTCGACATAACACAGTGCATTAAATGATACGTGGGGAAACCTTTTTAAGGTTTACCTTTTTTCTTTGACGGAGAGTCTGCTTTGCCTTGTGGACGGGGTGAAGTGTCCTCCATGTCGGCCACCATACGAGCTGCCACGCCTCCCACTGTTGTAACTTGCATCGCCGAAGTTACCGTTTGAGACTCCATCCCAATGGATTCTGCATCGACCATTTCCTCTGTGTGCATCGTCTCTGTCGGCATCAGCAGTCGCAGTGCTGGTATTTCCGAGCAGGGTCCGCACTGTTCCGAAGACACCTCAGGCGTAATCACACGGAAGTGTGTGCTTTCAGACACCGGGATAGATACGGGGCAAACTGGTGGAGGGCTGGACTTCAGTGGAAGGACAGATGGCTACAAGAGTGGAGAAGAAGATGATGATATGAGCTGAAGAAATAACAAGACTGCAGATTAGGGTATCAGGATTAAGGCTTTCCTACCATGGCGGCCTGAGGCAGCTCTCCCCACGCCCAGTGCATTTCTGGATTCTGATTGTCTGTGTTTGACGGTTTGCCAATTAGCTCAGAATCACTCTTGGGAGATGTGGGGCGAGAGTTTCCAGGACTAAAGGAGAAAGAGATTATAGCATTTCCACATTTATTTCATGGATTTATAGCATTTACTGTAGGTGTGAAAGAATTTTGTGTGAGCCGAGCACCTCTGAATGGGACTCCACTCCCCATCTGAACGAGTGTACATGCCAGCCTGTTTGAAAGAACTGTTGGTCGAACCAACTGTGTTCTCATCTCTAGAGACATCCCGAGATGAAGACCTGGAGTATAATCACAAAGACGAGTTAGTCAGGGTTTTCTTTACTCTCTCTTACACTGTCAGGTGATCATCCTCATCCTCTGCATGGGTATTTGATTAGTCCTTCACCATTTCCCTTCACTCCTCACGGCCAGCTCTTACCTGTTGCTCTCCATTTCTGCCACTTCATCCGAGCTGATGTCTATGGGGAACATGTCTTCGTCCGCGGAGTAGTCTCCACTTTCCTCTCTCCTCAGGCTGTCCGCCCGAGCCTTCCTCCTCCTCTTCCTCCTTTTCTTCATCATCACGTTACTGTTCTCGCCATTGCTTGCCACAGAGCACAGATTCTGTATGGGTGTCCCGGAGATCTTCCCCATCAAAACAGGTCCATCTGATAGGATAGGAGAGGTGGCCAGGTAGGAGGGAACCACTTCCTGTTAAGACAGGAAACAGGAGTGAAACAATGCCGAGCAGACAAAGAGCCTGAACGTTACACCAAAAACTACCCACATGAGGGAATCTGTTTGGATTTACTGTCAAAGCTTTAGGTCTGCACTGAAATTGGGTGCTGTAGGAGTGTTGCTGACTCCCCTACTGTTCACACTTTGGTTTTTGTAACGCAGAACAACATGTGATAGTGCAACCTGCACAGCTATTATCTCCTGCTTTGACATGAAGCTATGTCAACCACTGAGAAACAAAAGATGACAACACTCTGCATAAAAGTAGATTATAATCATTGCAATAAACCCCCCCCCCCCACTCCATAGTTAGTGTATCGCATGACTTTGGTCTGAGACATAGGTTTGCAATTAACTGCCAAACTGCAAAAACCTCCACAGAGGAAAGGGTTTGCCAAAGCAGAAGCAGACTCTGTTTCTCAGTTCTGGTCACTTTTATGATCCCTCCTTCTAGGAAAAGAAAAGAGTTTTCCAGGAGGTCTCCTGCTGTCCATCCAGGGGAACATAAATATGTGTGTGCAGACTTAGGGGAAAAACAGAAAGCGAAGACAAACTGACGTATAACACCATGATTTGTGGTCTGACAACAATGCCTCATGTTTTGCTTCCCTGAGCCAAGAAAATGGGTTCAGAGAAACAACGCTCCTCCCCTAGTTGCTCGTTCAAGCCTGAGAATTTGACACCACCCAGGGGAAAATAAATCAGACACTTCCCTCGTTACAGCCAGCCCCAAGCTTCAGTACTTTAGAGCTTGTTTTTATCTTTTTCTGCATGCATCCTCACGTGCATACAAAGCCAAAAAGAGAAAGAAAGAGAAAGAAGATGAGAGTACATGCAACCAGGCTCTTTAAAGCTGCAACTGAACCTCACAAAACCAAAATAAAATTAAACACTGACTTTCCAAAAAACTGAGGAAAAACGGCTTTCCGTGAAGTTTTGTAAACATAAAAAGTAGAAATGTAGGTCAGACTGGAGGAATTCTGACATATCTTTAACTCGCCAAGCTCTGAGCATTTCTCTAATACTTAAGCCAGTTTCACAAATACTGCAATACCGCAAACATTTAAATTTCCAGAAGCATATTTATCCAGTTTCCGATTTATCCTCATGCTCCCAGTGTTTGACATACTTCCAGGTCATAAAGCCTTGGTGAGTAAATTCTGCGTTCTCAGCTCTTGCTCGCTGATAAACAAAGGCAGTCTGTTTTTAAAAAAAGGAAAGGGGAGAAATTCCTGGGTGCTGTGCCAACTCTGCACACAGTGCGACTTTGTTCAAACTACTATCATTCCGAGTAGGAAAAAGAAAGTTTGGATAACACTTTTCAGTTGCAAATGGGGAGTGTGTGAGCGCAGGGTGTAAATAAAGTGTTATCATTTGAATCTTGGTTTTATTTGAATCAAAAAGGCCACATAAAGGCGGAAATGGTAAATGGCCTGTATTTGTATAGCGCTTTTACTAGTCCCTAAGGACCCCAAAG